TCTCTATGTCTCAGAGTTCTAAGTTGCAAATGAGGGTTGATTCCTAGTATCTTCCCCAGGGCCTGCTGTAAGAACAGAAAAAGCTCAGCCTTGGGAAAGTGCGAAATGCTTAGAATAGTGTCTGTTCTTATCAAAGGATCCTAGGCTTCCAGGTGGGGTTTCTCTTTCTCCTGCTGGGAAAGTGGGGGGCAGGGAAGGAGGGGACAGGTGGCTGGGTGGACTGGCCTCCCTTCTATTTGAGGGTAGGCAGGACAGACTGAGAGGCCACTGGACCTAATTAGATTCCAGCAAGAGTTGGGGCTTTGTGGAGGGTCGCCTGATGGAGTAGTGAAGCACTGTTGGGGACTGGGAGATCCCTCAAGATCAGGGTCTTGGAGGAGGACAGGGCTTGGGCCTGACACTCAAATGTCCTGGCCATTTGTATCAGAACCACAAGTCATGCTGTAGCTGTCGGGAGAAAGGCACTGCAGACTCCTGAAACCTTTTGAAGGACTCTAATGTAGATAAAAGGAGGAATGTATGTCAGTTTTGTAACAGCAAATTTCAAGATAGCATTGGTAAAGGAAGAGACTTTACCACTTCTGCTAGTATGGGGGAATGAGCCACCCTGCCTTCGTGTACTTGTGTGTTAGAGAATTGCTCATGGGTGGGAAGGGCAAGAATCAGTTTAGTGGAGCACTCAAGGTTCCTGCCTGTCCTGGGTCCTCTGCAGGGCCAGTGGTGCGTGAGGGGATGTAGGTCTCTGGGCAGACACCAGCAGATCCAGGTCAGGGAGCTGCCAGGCTCAGGCTCTCAAGAGGCCAGGCAGGCAGGTGTATTGGCCAGAGCCAGGCAGGTCTGGCTACCTCGGGGGATTTGAGGAGCAGCAGATATTGGGGCCAGAAGGCATCCAGCTTCCTGTCCCCGGTGCCTGGGACTTTGCTCCCTGAGGTGCAAAGAGGAAAGAGTGTTTGTCCAAACCAGAGTTCAGAAGACGCTAGTTCAGTCTGTCTGAAGGGAAAATTGTTCTGTGATGCACGCATGCTGAAGCTGCATAAGCCACCAAAACCCTGTCCCACTCTGCTGCCCGCTGCAGGGTGGGCGAGGGCTAAGGGAGTGGCCCAGCTATGATCTTCCTGCCCTGGAAGCCTGACCTCCTGCAGTCTGAGTAGTGGACGTTGTTCCACAGGGGCTGAACCCTTCGGTGGCACTGCATTCCTCACGAGGCTTGGGCAGCTGCCTCGAAAGAAATGGGGACCAATGATCAGGACCACTCCCTCTGGACTTGGTCATATGGGGCCTTGAGGGGGCAGTGGCCTGCACCACAGCCCGGAAAGTACTGAGGAGGCAACAATACACACACAGCTGAAGGAAGCTCCCTTTGTTCTTACCAAAGGGAAGCAAAACCATTTCTTTCCTGATCAAATTTTTGCTGACACCCAAGCTGTCTCGCCATCTCCTGGTCCCTGGCCCCGGCCTTGTCGCCCCTTCCCCCACGTACTGGCAGCAGGGAGGACCCGCTGCAGGCCGGGGAGGTGCTGGAACCGCGACCACTGAGGCAGACCCAACACCCGCCGCCGCTCTCCTGAGCGGGGTTTTCTTGGGAAGCGAAGCTGTTTCAGACGATCAGCATTCTGGTGGCCGAGCTCGGCTTCCGATTCCATTTTAAACGACCGGCGCATCTTATCTCCGAGTCGCCTCCTGGGGGTTCGCACCCACCCCCTGCCCAGCCTGGCTCAGGCGGAAGCGGGCCTGAGCTTTTGAAGTCCAGAGAATTTCAATCCAAGAGGAGCCGGCTAGACCCGAGCCTGTCGCCCCAGCGGGGGAAGAGACAGACTGCAGGCCCGCGAGGCAGGGGGCAATTGAGAAGCGCCAGGGGCCGCCTGGACCTCACAGGGGCAGCTGTCACCCCCTCCGCGTTTGCCGGGTTGCCCTGGCTTCGCCTGCTCTTTGAATTTACCTTCCCTCTCGAGCTGTGCTGCGAATAGCCTTCATGATACATGATAATGCCGCTATTAAAATCCTCCCCTATACACATACCAAAACCAAAACCAAATCAAACAAAAAAGCAAACAAACCAAAACCAAATGGTCTTCTTCAGTCCTCTCCTCTTTTCATCCTCTTCTTAAAAATCCGACTTCTCTTCATCTGACATTGATAAAAGGATGCTTTGAAAAGTGACATTTAGTTAGATTTGTTTTTTTCTTCATACACCTGGGAGTTCAGTGGCTCCTAAAGACTTAAGACATGGAGGCGGCTTTGAAAGGATGAGCAGAAGTCTGCAGAGGCTTGGGGTGGGGTCTGACTGGGGGAGATATCCCCAAAGCTCCTGCTCTGGAGCCCAGAGGAAGCAGCCCCTCTCCAAGAGGCTGAGCCCTCATTTAGCCCCCCTCTGAGGGATGCAGCCCTGCTCCATCAAACCCACCCCAGAAGGACTCTAAATGGCACCCCTTGATCTCCCAATCCTACTGGCTTTCATCTCCAGGGAAAACCCAGAGGAGAAGAGGATCAAACACAGAACATTCCCATTGAATGCTAAACTGGGGGTGGGACAGAGGAGCCCGGAGTCCCTCTCAGGACAAGTGTCAAGGAGTGGGGGCAGTGAGGAGGCTACAAGAAGGTGGTATGTTCATGGGGGGCGGGAGAGTGGGTGCCAACCAGACCCAGTGCTGGCAAGGCCCGCTGGGCACACAAGGCAGTGCTGAGATAGACACTCGGGCATCTCGGGGACGTTGACTGGAGAGACGAGCCGGGACTCCCTCTGGCTGTAGCTGCTTGTGAGGAAAGGCAGGGTGTGACAGAATCTATGGACAACTCCTCATGGCAGCAAAAGGTTCTGGGACTTGATTCCCCCCAAGTGTGTTCCTCTCTAATCGCTTGCCTCTAATCTCTGAGATATATTCCCAGTTTTCTGGGCTAGATGGTGGCTCTGGGATGTGCAGGGAGTGGACACTACCTTTCAGACCCATCTCCCTCTGTTGCCCAAAGAAGGCTAATGAATATCTTACTGAGCTGGGGGAGAAGTGGACAGCAGAAGTGAGGGGACAGTTCTTGTCTTTCCTTGAACTTCTTGCTTCCTCGACCTCTTCCATAACCCCAAGGATAGGATGATTGGGGGAGTGGTGGGGAGAAATTAGAGAAGAGGAAATGAAAAATGAGGGGAAAAAAAGGAGATAGAAGACAAAAAATAGTGCTAGAATGATTTTTCTTTAGAAGCTGGGACTTTGCCTAAGAATATGGGAGAACCACCCACATGCAGGGACCACCCTTAGCTGGTTGCATAGTACTAGAAGCTCTTAGGGAGGAGACAGAAGAAGAGGAGCTAGCCTAGAAGGGGCCTACCTCTTGCCCTCTCAAAGTGAAGAAAGAGCCAGCCCACCTGCCAGGCCCTCACACTTGTTTAGCATCCATAAGGGGCCACTGTAAAAGGATTGGACACTACCTTCCTGAGAGTCTGTAGCCTTCCCGAAACATCAAGCTGTATAGCCCTGCCTCTACCTCCTCCCACCTTGAGGTCCCCACAGATTGGCCTTGGGTCCCCACAGATTTAGCACAGCACCTGGGCACTTGATCTTTCAGGGCATTTTCAGCAATTTCTTTCTCTTCTATCTCCAGCTTTTGAAGCCAAGGATTGTGGCTCCTGAGAAGGGCCCGGAGGAGGACTCCATGACTCCCACCTCTGCTGGCCCCACGCGCTCGGTCTGCTCAACTCCTGCCCTACATCCTGGAGGGAGGGCAATCATCGTTTCCCAGCTGGGGGCCTCCAGCGCTGCTGCAACCAGGGCTGCATTTGCCAGCACCTCCTCACTTGAAAAACCTATTTCCAGGAGAATTCGTTGACTCTGAATGAAAACCTTAAAATTCAGGCAAGAAAAGAAACGACACCACTTTTAGAACCTCTCCCCACCCAACATACCTGCAGTGCCAGCAAGGCCGGGTCAAACGGGAAGCAATTTCTTCTATGAATAGCCGCCTCCTGGTCAAGACAGCTGTGGAACGCTTAAGGCCATCTAGATGAGGAGGGAGAATTTAAAATAAAACAAAACAAAATCATCGAACACTTCGAGGCAGCAGGCAACAGGGGTCCTTTAAAGAAAAATTAAGATATTCATCTCATGCCCCTTGGGGAAGAAAAATAGCCAGGGTTGGTTCCTAGGAGGAGAGAGACAGACAGGGTGCAGAAAGGAAGAGAGGGAGCAAAGGACACCCCAGGCTCAAAGTCTCCAGACAACTTGTGGAGGGGGCTACGTTTTTCAGTAGCTTGTAAAAAAGTCTTTGGAGTCAGTCTGAGGTGAGCTGACAGGGACTGGCAGTTGTAATAATGCGGAGAGAATCGCGGCTGATAAGCCGGCTTTCACACTTCCAAAATGCAGTTATAGATTCTTTCGTCACTGTTGGATCAAGGCCCCAGGTTAAGAGAACAAAAGTCAAAACAACAATAAAAGAAAAATCAAAAGCGTTTCCATTTACCGAGTCCCGCTGCCCCTGCGGAACTCCCGCGCTCCTTAAGCTCTCTTTTCTTTCTGCGGAATTCCATTTGCATCCCCTCTGACTGGGTGTCTCCCCTCTCAGTGTGTGTGTCTCTCTGTTTTCACACTCTCCTCCCCATTCGAGCAGGCCCACACCTGGCGCATCACTGCCGAGCCATTAGCTGCGGGTCTCCTTTCATCTTCGCTGTGGCAGACGTTTCTATTTATCCACTTGCGCTCGCCGAGTGGCGTCACCAGCGGTACTGTAATGACGATTGCAGCAGGAGGATGACAGCTTAGAAAGAAGAGGGCAATGGGGCTTCCTCCCAGAGGCGGTGCGGCACAGAGGAGCGCTCGCATCACAAGGTGACCCCAGTTCCCCACCGCCACCTCCGCCTTCGCCGTCGACACCGCGCTCTGACCGCTCGGTTCCCACCCGGTCGCCCGGCCTCTCTGGCTCCCTTTCGCAGCCAAGACCTGCCCGACCACTGGGGTCCCAGAGTGCCGGGGGTTAGGAGCTCACTTGGGGCTTCACTCCTCCCCGCTCCGGAGACCCCCGGGATGGAGAGCCGAAAGGACATGGTTATGTTTCTGGACGGGGGTCAGCTTGGCACTCTGGTTGGCAAGAGGGTCTCCAATTTGTCCGAAGCCGTGGGCAGCCCGCTGCCTGAGCCGCCCGAGAAGATGGTGTCCCACGGTTGCCTGAGCCCGCGAGGCGGCCCTCCGGCTGCCCGGGAGCGCGGCGGGGGAGGCTCGGAGGAGGAGCCGGTCGATGGACTCTCAGGCAGCGCGGCGGGGCTGGGCGCCGAGCCACCGGCAGCCGGCGCGGCCATGCTTGGCCCGGGACCCCCGGCCCCTCCTGCCGACAGCCTCTCTGGCCAGGGGCAACCCAGTAGCTCAGACACCGAGTCGGATTTCTATGAAGAAATCGAGGTGAGCTGCACCCCGGACTGCGCCACCGGGAGCGCCGAGTACCAGCACAGCAAAGGTAGCCACCGCGCCCCTTCGCTCCCCGGGCCTCCCACTGCGCCCACCCCTCACTTCAGCTCAGGCCAGCAGGAAGACATTCCTTTCCCCCAGGGCAGAATGGCTGGGGGGTCCCACCCGAGCAAGTCTTCCCTGCTATCCGAGCCCTGGCGGGGGTCTCCTACTGTGTTCTGGCGTTGGTGGGACTGAGGGCGACAGCTGTGCCTGGGAAGGGCGGAGAGCAAGTCCTGGGCTTAGGGGATTCAAAACGCACCCCAACCCCCGTGCTTGGTGGTAATGCTTCAACTGAGCGGCGAAGACACCTTCCCTCGGGTAGAGCAAGATCAAACGCGAGTCGGGCAGTTTGTAGCTGGCGGGGTGTAAGGCGTATCTAGGCGCGGAAGCCATGAGTCCATAAAGGACCGTAAAATCGCGGTGGACTCTGGCGGTCCGGGTGCTGCAGCCCTCCGACGAGTTTGCACGTCGGTCAGAGGTCCAAATTACCTTGTCACTTCCCGGGCTCGGCGGCGCCAGGTCGGAAATGGTCCCAATGGTCTAATTGCCTTTGGTCTCCGGTTGCATTTGAAAAGGCAGAGATTGGGCCCTCCCCCGCTTCCCTTTCTTTCCAAGTCCCACTTCTCCACCCAAAGGAAAAGGGACTGCAGGGGGTTAGAGCACCACCCTTCCCTCGGGTAGGCCTAAGGGGGGGTTACTTTAACTGGAGACCTCCTCCCCACCAAAGGCTAATGGGAGTGGGGGTGGATGGCCCCGGAAAAGTCTCTGTGCCAACAATCACTCAGCCAGAGAGGGGTGAAAACCTGGAAGGGAGAGCTCATCAGCAGACACTCCTCCACAATGCCCTGGGAATGGGTAGGAAGAGCCTGGGAGGGAAGAAAGGCCACCTCTTAGCCTTGGCAGGCAGCACCTGGTTGAGTGTCCAGCCACACTCCACACCATCTTATCTCCTCAACCCAGACTCCCAACTTCAACATGTCTTCAGAACAACCTGCTCTCCACTCAGATACACCATCCCTGCGGTACACACAGTCCAGGAAATGCTCCCACACCTGTGCTGGCATCCTGGTTCACATGCATACCCAGCATCCCACAATGCACCAAGTCTCAGAGTGCATGATGCTCCAGCACAGAGATGCATCTTTACTCCCTTGCCTGCCAAATATGTACCCTGTGGTCCACTCCTGTCAAGGGTGGGCAGAAAGCTAGAAAAGCAGGTACTCTCTCTGTGCTTCAGGGCAGGTGGGGAAGGCGGCTGTGATCCCCTGTACTTAGCATGCCTTAGATCCAGGCCTTCCAGACAGCAGCCAGACCAGGCTTCCCCACAAAACATCTATGTCCCCTGCTCCTTTTCCCCGAGTCCCTAGAGCCCAGCAGAGGCAGTGACTGAGGCTCCCGATAGTGTCCCTTTTCACCGCCCCCATCGACACCGGGCCTTGGGCCTACAGCCAGTCTGCAGTGTTTGTGTCTGTTGTGCGTGTGTGTGTGTGCGTGTGCGTGTGCACACATGTATGCTCTGGGCTCTTTGCGCAGGGCCTGGCTCCGAGGCATTGGCCGGCAGTCCAAACGGCAGCAGGGAGACCCCTAAGAGCAACGGCGGCGGCAGTGGCAGCGGAGGAGGCTCTCAAGCCACCCTGGCCTGCAGCGCCAGTGACCAGATGCGGCGTTACCGCACCGCCTTCACCAGGGAGCAGATTGCTCGCCTGGAGAAGGAATTCTACCGGGAGAACTACGTATCGAGGCCGCGGAGATGTGAGCTGGCTGCAGCCCTAAATCTGCCTGAAACCACCATCAAGGTATGCGAGATCCGGACGCGTGAGGAGGGTGTGCGCCCATTTAGCAGGAAGTAAAGACCAACTGCCTACTCCCTAAATCACGGGCCCGGAATCTGGGCCCCAGTGTGCAGACTGAAGATGTGCCCTTCTGACAGCCTGAGGCAGCCACAGTTGCCAAGAGGTCCAGTGTCTCCTTTTCTTTGTAGCCAAATAGAAAACGGGGACGGGTGCCCAAAAGAGAGGGATGTGAGAAGGCGTATTTCTGAGGAAATGCTGTCTGTGGCCTCTGACTCAGGGAATCCTGGTCCCCGCCCCCCCCAAGCCACCCTGGGGGTCCTGGCCACGTGTGCAGAGGAAGGAGGGACAGACTGCAGTCACTCCCTGAACCTCCCAAGGGAGGGACCCCAGCTGCAGTTGGTGGGGTGGGGCCTGACCTCAGCAGTTTGTGTCTGCTTTGGCTCCCCTCTGGGATGTGGGCACTGTCCCCTGGAGCGCAGGATTTCTGAGTCCCGACACTGGGCCTAGCCCAGCGGCCCAATTTGCTCCACTCCTCTCCCAGGTGTGGTTCCAGAACCGGCGCATGAAAGACAAGCGGCAGCGGCTGGCCATGACGTGGCCGCATCCAGCTGACCCCGCCTTCTACACGTACATGATGAGCCACGCGGCGGCCGCGGGCGGCCTGCCCTACCCCTTCCCGTCGCACCTGCCCCTACCCTACTACTCGCCCATGGGCCTGGGCGCCGCGTCTGCAGCCTCGGCCGCCGCCTCGCCCTTCAGCGGCCCGCTGCGTCCGCTCGACACGTTCCGCGTGCTCTCGCAGCCGTATCCGCGGCCCGAACTGCTGTGCGCCTTCCGCCACCCGCCGCTGTACCCCGCGGGCCCGGCGCACGGACTGGGGACCTCGGCCGGCGGCCCCTGCTCCTGCCTTGCCTGTCACAGCGGCCCCGCCAATGGGCTGGCGCCCCGGGCCGCTGCCGCCTCGGACTTCACTTGTGCCTCCACCTCGCGCTCGGACTCCTTCCTCACCTTCGCTCCCTCTGTGCTCAGCAAGGCCTCCTCCGTCGCGTTGGACCAGAGGGAGGAGGTTCCCCTCACCAGATAAGGAGCCGCCCTCGAGCTGCCAGCTCCAGGATGCCCGTGGGGGGCCCCCCCCGGGGGGGACTCAGCTAGGCCCCTCCTGCCCCCAAGATCCCGAGGGGAAAGGAAAAGGCCTCAAAGGACCAGCGGGACTCAGCCTCGAGGATTGGGAGGCCCCAGAGCGGCAGTGGCTGATGTTTGAGGAGCAGGAGTGGGTATGGGAAAGCTGAGGTTGAGAGAGCTTCCTTTGGGGTTCTTTTCACCGTTCTTCACCAGACCTACCACCCATGGCTGGGGTGGAGACCATGACTCCAGGGCTAAACAAAACTTAGCAGCAAACAGCAACCCATATCCAGCCCCTTTTCCTCCCACCTCCCACCTCCCACTCCTCACCTGGGCCCCCTTTCTCCTGCCAAGCCAAACACTGGAAAGGAAAGCTGCGGTGTCTGAACAAAATGCTGTGTATGCAGAACAGGTAGCGATTAATCTTCACCGGCTTTTCCACGGCATGGCACGGGCTTGTGGATGGCAACATATCAGCCCATTTAGAGGAAAGAGCAAGAAGATTTACTGCCGGGCAGAATCTTGCCTCTTGGCAAGGAACCTGGGGGGGCTCTCTCACCTCCCTAGAACCCCAATTACACAGCATCTTCTGGTTCTGACATCTCCCGGCACCTGGTCTTTTTCCTCACTCCAGCTTTGTGACAACTCTCAACTTGCTGTTCTAGCCCTCCTCCCTCCACTTTTTGTTTGACGTTGGTAGGGACGCTGCAGCCGCCCCAGTGCCCCTTGGCAGAGGCCAAGCCTCTTCTCCCAGGACCCGGCACACACCCTGATTAGCAAGTGATGTGTGTGGAGGGCTTCTTAATGTTGAATGTATGTATAATAATGATCACCATGAGGCTTGCCACCACACCCAGAGCTGAGCCGTTAACAAGGCCCCCAGGGAAGAGCTTAGGGAGTCGAATTCACCTTCCTCCCTCAGTATCTGGTAGCAACCTGGAGGCTGTTTTCAACTTTTGCCTGCTCACCTTCACCTTCACAGAGCTTTCTGACCCTTCCCTTTACATTTGCCATTTTACATCCTCCTCTCAATTTCCTCTGAAGTTGCCACAGGGGCTTGACTTTCCAGATACCCCCGGGGAAGGGGGAGCGTATCTCTACCCTTCACCCGGGTGTGTTTGGAATCCGTTCCCAAACTCTCACTCCCACACTCATTCTTGCAGCCAGTTTTTGAGGAAGAGAACTTTTACCCCCAATGCAAGCCTAACCCCAACTGGGAGGGAGTGATTCTTCCTGTAGGGAATGAATTTGGTTTGGTTTGGGGTTTTCCTTTGAAGCCCAAAGAATTTGCTGTTATGATTTGTTAACCATACTGCAATAAAAGCTGGACATGATTCTCACTTTAGCATTTATTTATTTATTTTTTTTTTTTTTAGCAGACAACACATTGACTCTTACTTTAATTGACTGGGTAGGAAAGAGTCTCCTAAGCTCCTATTGGAATGGCAGGCTTCAATCAGACATTATAGGGATGTGAAAGGAGGCTTCCCTCTGCTCTGGGGTGCATGCTTCCTTAACTCAGGCAATGCTGGGGCCCTCCATCGGAAAACTGGACTTCAAAGTGCTGACTCCACTTGGTGTTCACCCCTCTGATGGATTGGTCCCAGTCCAGTTGCTCTAATCCTTTGAGGAACAGACCTGGCTTCATCTCCCTGAGACCTGCCTCTGCCTCCGCTCAAGCTGGTCCAAGTGGAGCTGTGGCAGTGGAGCTGGAGCAGCACAGAGTTTGGTTTGCTGGTCGAGCTGGGTCTGCATCTTGGTCTGAGTGACCCACAGACTAAAGTCATTGGGAAGAATGAACTCTGGGGCAGTCAGGAGGAGGGGACAGGCAGTGCTCAGCAGCAACCTCCACCCAGCCCGAGGCAAGCTGGCTGCTTCTGGAGTCCCGCTCCCACAGAGGAGGGAGGGTGCCTTCTGGGAGGCTGGATGGTTTGGGATTGCATACATGCTCCCAGTTGGCCTCCGTCTGAAGGCAGGTGAGGACTCAACTACCTTCCTCACTCCTGGGCAGCCCTCACCTGCGCACGGCAGTCCCTAACCTCCCAACCTAACCCTGCGGCAAGTTCCGCACCCCCACCCCCAGCTTCTCGCCCAGACCCTCGCAGCTCCCTCTGCAGCCGGAAGCTCTCAAGTGCCAGATCCCGGCAAATTTCGCGGTTGCTCCGCATCGGGCAGAGATTGCTTGCGACAGGTAAATGGGCTGCGGGTTGCCTTAATGCCAGGCGTATTTTCAGTTAATAGGGAGGGAAAATGAGGTGTCTGCAGCGATATTGGAAAGTACAAGATCGATGATCCGGCCTCGTGTCCAATCAGCAGCCTTTAATTGACTGTATTTTCTGGGTAATTGAGCCTCTCTTCCTCCAAATTGAAGTGGAAGATATAACAATACATCTTGCCAGGAGGAATTACTCATTACTTCATAATGAAATTTCCCTTTTGCCAAGGTTTGCGGTTTGGCGCTAGGCATCACTTCTCACACTCGGTCTCCCCTCCCTCCCACCTGCACCGGGTGAGCCCATCTGGCCTGACACGCCCCAGTTTGGCATCGAGGTGGGAGAGGACCATGAAGAAGGCCCTCCCCCATCTGCACACGTCTATTGGTAGAACGAGACAGACAGACTGGACAAAAGGTTTGACATAACGTTGTTTTCGTTTTTTCAACTTTAGGAGTGTCTCAGCGGAGCCTGGTCTTGGTCCCATTGCCCATCGTGCAGGTGGGCAAACGGAGGATCTGGGTATCAAACAGGTTCTTTCTCCTCCCTCACCTTGCTTTTGGACTCTGAAGCCACTCCCCTCAAAGTCTGACACTTCTTTCCCGACTCACATCCTCCCATAGCTCCTCAGTCTGGCTGAGCATGGGGGCCTAGGAACGCGGCCCTGTGCCCAGGCTGGTTCGCCTAGCGGGTGAGGCTAACAGCCCGCAGCCAAGTGCGCGTAGGGCCAGGCCGTCGCCGGCTTGTTAGAGTGTGATTGATTGCCTTATTAAAGCGTGTTCTTGTAAGTGTGACCAAACTGATTGCATTGCATATGTTTGGGATAATGCTCATTTTAAACAACAGGATAAAGCGGATGAGCTCTGCAGAGCTTCGAAGATGAAATGATTCTGGCCAGCAGCTCTCTAACTCTGGCATTAAATTGCCCAGTTACATAGCAAATCACTTGGTTCTTCCATCTTTATCCCCATTTTTTTTTTTTTCTGGCTTGCTGTTTGATGGTTCCTCTAGTGACTCTATCAGCTCCACCTTTACGTTCACTCCTGCTCTTTCTCAGAATCCTCCTCCCCATGACAGACAGTGGGAGAAGAGATTCAGAACGCACCCTCTCACCAGAACCCTCCTAAGGAACGTGGCTGTAGACCGTCAACCCAAACAGGATCTTGGGTCCCCACAGTAAGTCTCTCATACCCCCCCTTCATTTAAGTTTAAAATGTTCTTTTGTTCCCCAGGCTTCCCGCTTGGTTGCTTCCATTATTCCCCAAATGAGGAAACACCCTCCACCATATGTCGGCTGGAGAGCATGGGTGTCACAGTGGTCAGTTGCTGAAGATGTCCAGACAGATGACATTCTCAAGTGGGAGAGCTTTGCCTACTTAGTATCGGCTCCGTGCACCATCGCTCCAGAATAGTAGAGGGAGGGGGCTAAAGGGAAAATTGGAATTTCTTCTAATTATGTCCTATTCCCACAACTCTAACCATTTCTTGTGGCAGGTTTTCTTTCTGTGCAATTTCCTAACAAAGAAATCCTTAGCTTGCCTCTACCCACTCCTGCCCAGTTGCAAGAGAGCCAAACTACTCTAAGATTGAACTTCCTAAGGGACACCTCTGAGATATGCTGGAATTCTGATTTGTTCAAGATGATGACAGTCATCAGGACAAATCAGAAGTGATGCCACTCTTCAGGGTGTCGTTTGTAAGTGCAATAGCACAGATTCGTTTGCAGGACCCAGCTAAAAGAGATCAGGATAAGTGACTAGATGCATCGGCAAATCTCTTCCATCACTCAGCCCTTCTGGCTCTCTAGGGGCAGGCACATCAGACTGCAATAGAGCAAAACTAAGGTCCAGCTCACCATTTGTGCCAGCTTCTGGGTCCTAACGCATCCTACCATCTATAAAGCAAACAAATACAAAGTCTTTTCCAAAACTGCCTTCTCAGCAAATAAGTGTGTGATATTCTGAGCAGGAGAGAGAAAGATTGCCACTTAAAAATAACATGAAAGCATTAAGTAATTATTTAAAACAAGGCTGTTTAGAAAAATATTTGTATTTATTGCAGCTGCTCAATTGGCCTCGTTAAAGTCAGCAAGCATTTAAATTGTGTTACAATCTCATTTAAATCTCGCTCCGTTCCAGCAGGCTGAAGAGCTTGAATAGACCAATCACTTCATAATGATGATGAATGAGAAATTAATTCAGATACAAGCAAGACAATTTAGGCCTTCATCTGTTTAAATAGCCTTCCAATATTATTCGCGATCGCGGGTCACAGATTGAATCAATTGTCCAATCTTGTGAAAGTCATATCCTTGCATCTTCATCGAGATTATTTATAGCGCAGTGAGGGCTGCTGAAAGGTATACGCTGTTAACAGGGACAATTACTTAAAGGGAAGCGTTTATAAAATGGAAAACAAATGCCTGGGTTGGTAACAAATGAGATCAAAAGCAGTCATTCGAATCTGGCTACTGGAGAGAAGGGAGTGAGTACGGCCCCGCAGGATGAGGGCTGCTCGGGTCGACTTCTGACCTCTCCAGGGCCCAGGTGAGCTGGAGCCTCCTGGGCGCGTGCGCCGTGGCTGCCCTGGCAAGGCTGCCCCGACCTGCTGCAAGCTGTAGCCTCCCTGGCGCAGGCAGCAGCTAGCAGAGCGCGGGATGGGCATCCTAAGCAATAGCACCCCATGGACTCCGACCCTAGGGCGGTCTACTTTGCATGCGCGGCTCAGTCCCTGCGGGTGCAGGGCTGCGGACTCCAGCCTCGGTCTGACATCGCTGTCG